TTGCTTCAGGAATTTCATCTTTTTAGTTGGCTTTCCATATCGGGAATGCATGGTCCATCTGTATTCCTTTAGATATGACCAGTGAAAGTGAACATACTGCATCGATTAAATAAAAAGAACAATTTATGAGGAAATGTATCTTTACATGAGGGAATGTAATCTTCCTGATAGCTTTTCATCGAGTGAATGTAATTTTATTTAATTATTTCTATACCTTCCAAGAATTTCCTCAGAAGACAATGATTTGTAGATGACTATGTACATTTTTTATTGTCTGATGAAGATCTGATATGTGGGCATTGGAAGCATTAGTGGTGGTGTTTGAATCTTTGGAATGTTTTCTTAGTAGTGCCTGAAGTTCCTTTTATTTGGGTTTTGTTTTTGAGTCACCTGCTATTGGTTTATCTCTGAGGGTGGGAGGATTCATATTCCTGACTAATTCTGTGCCTTCGTTGGCAATTATGCCCTCTACTGTGGTCAGTCTTGCAGAAAATTGTTTTAAGCCTGAGGTCTAAAAAGATGCAGCACTGATGAACTGATCATTAGCATTTCTATATCTTGAAAGTAGGTTTTCTTTGATGGAAGTTTACCTTTGACACCATTAGGCTGATCTTCATTTGTTGAAAATATGTTTTCAGTGATATTTAGAATTGGTTTGATTACTGAAACTGTGACACGAGACTCTCTGGACAGGGTAGGTGAAAGTTGTGAACTGACCCCAGAATCTTGGCAGTATCTTCCAAGATATTTAATATGTGTTTATTTGGCATTGATTTCCATGTTGTGCAATTCATTGTTAGTACTGCACAAAAAAGGTTCCTGCTCTCTAAACAATTTGACACACATCACAGATGGAGCCCCATTGGATTGGAACATCTTCAATTAACTGATGCTGTGGAACATTATGCCCATTTTGATTCTTAAAAAGCTCCTTCTTTCTCCAACTCCTCGTGAATGAGAGATCAAGTTTTAACAGGTATTTATAGCATCTCTCACTTCCATGTTTGTAAGGACATTATTCATAGCAAGACTTAAGTTATGATCAAAATAACTCAGTCTTGGATTATTCAGAATTATGTTGAAGGTTCTGACATAACTTATTCTGTTATCAGTAGTGATAGCTACAAGCTTGTTTTTGTCAAAGAACCACTTCTTCACGAGACCTTCAAAATCTTAATATATTTTTTCTCGGGGAAAAAGCATTGTTTCAAAATGGTCACAGTGAATGTCAGTCTTCATCAATGGTATGAACAGTTAAACTTGTGTAAAATTTTCCATCACTATTTTCACTTGTCGAATGTCCTGAAGTTGTAGCCAAATAAGCACTATGAGACAACCATTCTTTTAATTTTTCTCAATGACTCATAAAGATAAAGTTTTGTCTCAATAAAGTGGGAATGACCTTGTAAGACATATTGGGAATTTATTTTTTTTCAAAGAATTTTTGAAACCAGACTTCTCCATTGTATAAATGGGAATTATGTTCATTGCAGTTATGTGAGCCACTGCTTTGCCTACTTGGAAATAAATTCATAGTTATTTCTAAACTTTCAGAAATGGTAAGATGGCTGTTACACTGTTGCTGAACATCACTCTCTGCAATCCTAAATCTATGTATGTATTCTTCCTCAATTTGCTATATATGCATAAAAATCACTTGAATATACAACTTTATATTGGCTGTCCTTATAAATTACAAAGAGAAGGATTAATATCATTAGATGAAATAACTTTTTTGAGATATAAGTCCAGTAATGTATTAAAGTATAATTAGCAAAAATTTACACATTAAAAGAATGATCTATTTCTGAACAAAAACTATACTTTAAAAAGTTTACTCTATATGGAAACTAGTTTGTTTTTGAATAGTTAAATGCATTTTGCTGCTAATTCAATTGTTTCTGTTGCCCAAAGTAAAACTACTTTGTAAGTATGGACAATCCTATAAGTGAACATTTACAATCATATAAAATTTTGGACAATGTAACTTTCTGGGTGGTGGTCTCTAAAATGAGTGAACAGTTAGACGTTTTCCCTGTTTTTGCTGTAACTTATTTTTTACAACTAACATAAATTGGGATACTCTCTTCAGTTGATTCTTAAAACCAAAATAATCCCTAACTTGATTATGCCAACTTTTTAATGAAGGTGCAAGTACTACTACTTTATCCTCTTCAGCATCAGAATTTGAAAGTTCTGCTTCAGTCATGCTTTCTGTGTTGGGATCATCCATGGTGCTTGCTCAGTGGCTCCTTTCTGAGGTCTCATCTTAGATATGCTGCAGGATGATGGCTTTCATGTAAGGCTTATACGTAATGACAAACTATAATCCTTTTCTAAAAAATGCTAAACAAAATTACATTTTAACAGCAAAGCAATTTAAATCTCATGAGATTCAAAATTAAATCGTATGATGTAGAGGGAAATGTAGAGTGTAACATTTTCATTATTGTTGCAATTTGTATCAAACCCTGTAGTATTTAAAAAGTAACACAGAAAGTAGTGTTGTATCTTCGGAATCCAGTATTGTTTATACTATAATATCTGATAATTGCAGTAATCCTGGTAATTAGTATTACATAAAATAATTTTTTAATCATTAAATAATATCACAAAATAGTTTAACCAGTCTAAGTTAGGGTTTCTGATTATTACTGTTTTTACTATACAAGTAATCAAAATATTACTTTTATGATTTCTCAATATTTTTTATTAAATTAAGATTGTTCAGCTTAATTGATTAGTGTCACAACTAAAAAACATAATCAACTGTTTGAAAATAGTGTTTTCAAGTGTTACTATTTTCAATTACTCTAATTATCCAAATCTTGTATGCAGGCCCTCTCAGAGGTTCTGAGAGGCCTGGGCCACTTCTGTCTGTTGAGGCCCCTGGTTATAATAAGAATAATAAATTATGACACATGAAAATGAGATAAGACAATCATTAAACTAAAAGAAAAATGAAACATAATTTGAATATTTTTTATTCAAGAAATATTTATTAACATTATTTAACATTTAATATATACTCTTCTAGCTTTTTTATGTGCATAAAAACAAGTTGTTAAACTTAACAAATGAATAAGTATATTATGTCTAAATTTGAGGCCTAGTCGAAATAGCCCTCATGGCCTCCTTTCTAATTGGCCATACTTTTATGAGAGTAATCAATGAACTCTTTGGAGTTGGTATTTTGATGGATTCAAGTGTTATACAGTTTTATCAATAAACAGTAAAACAACTAGATCCTAAAACACTGAACAATATTTCAACTTAAATTGAATATGTTTAAAAATAAGTTTGAAACTTAGTTGTAATATTCACATAAAATAGACTGAGGTCCCAAATGATAATGTAATTAAGTCAAATTTTTAATTTACTACAAGATGATCAGAGAAATACATTTTTATAAAGGATTTGGTTATACAAACAATGGGAATTTGAAAGGTTGTATTTCCAAAGGAAAATATGTTACACATACATAACCATAATTGTATTAGATGTGATTTCCTTTTTTTAAATGCTAATTACAGCACTCCAATGTGTGTTATTATCACTCCTATGTGTTTAATATTTTTCTAGTGCACAGCATAGATGCACATACTCCAAAAATGAAAAACATTAAAGGTTGAGACAGGAAATTTTTCTTGATCTTATCTAAAACTGTTTTTTGTTTTAAATTAAGGAGAGCTACTCTGTAGTGTTCTTTGAAATGAAAATTTAAAAATATTCAATTTCAATTGTGTAGATAATTTTTTAACTGCAAAATACTGTTATAAGGCAATCTGCTGCTGTATTGTGGACGTAAGGCTCTATTAGAAAGAATTTAAATCTTTGCTTGTTATTCTGCCATATTATGGATATTTTATCAGATTGGTTATGGTGTATTTACATGTAGTAATTTTTGATGTGTGACATTATATTGCAATTTGCCGTAAAGACAGAAGTTCCTATGAGTAATAAATAAATATATATATGTTGGTAATTATATATTAATCTTTTTGTAAAAGCAAAACCATGAGTATACTGTGAATTTTGAGTATTTATATTTGGATATATGAAGAATAATCAAATCAGTTATGAACATGAATGATATCCTATGAAACATCAGTGTACTTAGTTGTTTCCTTGAATAATTGGGCTACAGGATAATCCTAACCATCTCTTTTTATCAATAGAATATGTATGGTAGTATACATAGTTTCCTCATACCTGAGGAATGTAAGAAAAATTGAATGATTCCTCTTAAGTTAATTTGTGGTGAATATACTGTTAAGATTCAATGGATTTGTATCTAGTTATGAATAAAATCTAGTTCTTCAGTGACTTAAAGCTAGGCTTAGCAAAAGCTGCTTGGTGTATCACTGTTACCACAGCTGTTATGATGAGTTTTAGTTTTATTTATGTATGTCTCTAATTTTATATATATATATATGTGTGTGTGTGTGGTTCTTATATACATTTATGAATCATATAATTTGTAATTGTGGGAAATCTTAGCAAAATTTTCCATTAACTGAAGTCTACTCATAGTAATGATTGAACTTTTGACGTAGAAGACATCTGAGAGAAAGTAATGAGAAGTGGAAAATGATATATGTGGAGTACTTGATATTATATTTTAAGACAGTAGGAAAATAACTTTTATGCATTTCCACATTTTCTTAAAATATGTATGTATGGTAAGTATTAATTATATGATTTAAGTGACACTCTTGAAATTTGTTGGCAAATATTGTCATATTCTTGGTACCTACCTGCACATTGAATCACATACCTCTCAGAAAATTATATATGTACCTTAAAAACTGGATAAAATTGTGCATGCTGATAGTGAAGCAAAAAAAAAAGATGTCATATTGTTTATGATTTTGAGCTTTATTTCTAATTGTATTGGAACTAGAATGTTTGAATAACCTGAAAATAGTTTGATTTTTCATTGAGTTAAAAAGTGTTAATATACCAAACATTCATTTTTTTTGTTTATTTTTATTTTGCAGAAAAAAATAATGGAAATTTAAAACTACAACTCACATGTATATCTTCACCAAATTACTTGGCCAACCTTTCTGATGAAAAATTGAATCTGAGAAAGGCAGTCAAAATGTAAAATATCAGTGTCAAATTCCTGTGAAAACAAAATCTGCAATGAGTACAATAGGACAGTTTATTACTAGAGCAGGTAGTCCTCATGAAAACAATCTCTAACAGTTACAAGATGACAAGTATTGGTGGAATAGATAATCCTTGTGAAAACAAAATCTTCAAGAATTTCAATATGACAAATTTCATTGGAATAGAAAATATTTGTGAAAACAAAATGTCCTATGATGACAATAAGATGACAAATAACAGTGGGATACATAATCCTTTTAAAAACAGTGTTTCCAACAGTGATTGTAAGATGACAAATACTAGTGTGATAAGTCTGTGTGAAAAGGACTATGTTGAAAAGTTTACTGAAACATGTATAGATGCATGTAAAAAGTTACAAACATCTAGTAACTGTGACATAGAAAAGATTACAGAGAGAATAGATTCTATTTCACTAAATGAAACAGATAATAAAGGAAGTAAAGATCAACAAGAATCAAAAAACACATCTAGGTCAGATTTCCTTTCTGAAGAAGTTGAACATCATTCAGAAGAAAAAATTGTAGTGCGAGGACCAGTTAACATTAATGATGACAAAAGAACTGCATATCCCTCCTCCAAGAAACTCGTATCAACAAATGTTAAATCCAATATCCAGAAAGTATTGAATAATAAGAATTTCTCAGAAGTTTTGTCAATTACAACAAAACCCTTTATGTCTGGAGGTATTGTCATTAGTCAAAGGTTGGAACCTGAAAGCCAACATCTATCCATAGGGGCTACCTACAGTGTACATTCTCCTGATTCTTCCACTAGTCCTGGAAGTTTTTATTCCAACAATTTAACATCCCCCTTTTCTGAAGAATTACAGAGCCCTTTTTCAGATGTATCCTGTGCTAGTGAGTTGTGTGGTGATGAAAGCTGCATTGATTTGTTAGATAGTAGTTCTCCTGTTCCAGAAAATATTTGGGAATTTGTTATGGAGTGTGAAGAAAACCAGCACTGTAATAATGTAATAAATAAATCTGATCCAAGTATTTCTAAGTCATGTAAAGGTTGGGATGAACATATTTTGTTTCAGAAGTTCATTCAGGACAAAGACAATTTGCAACAACCAAATGAGACCTCTAGCCATTCAGATGATTATAATTCTTTTAAAAACTTTATTGAATCACAAGAACATGCATTAAAGAACTATTCCACTGATTTCAAATGTCAACAATCAGACAGTTTTAATTCTACATGTAACCCTCAAAACTCCATGGGTTCTGTGACATCTCAGTCCATACTTTATTCAACTTCAAATGCTCACTGCTCTAGCTTTGAACAAAATTCCTTTTCAGATCTTGACAGTTTCCCCATCCAAAACCCCACTGATATTCATGACTCTCTGTCAGTTAATCAAAGTGATATATTCCAAAAATCCAACATTATACCTGATGCATCTTTTAACCTTCCCAGCACATTTCAGAATCAAAGCATTCATTGCGATTCTTCATCAAATTACTGTAACTATATTCTTCAAATTCCAAATACATCTTTATTAGATAATAAAAATACTGTTGTCCAAGTCCCAGTAACCAATGTATCAGTAGATTGTTCACCTTATTCTGAAAATACCCGTACTCAACAAAAAGCAAATGTGAATAAAATGCAGAACTATTCCGATGATGTCAAAGTTTCTTTAAGTAACCAAGACCTATCCCTCCAAAATTTCAGTATTGTAGATTGCAGTAAGAGTTGTGGTTTTCAAAATACTAGCAGTGTACAAAAGGGCTTTTCTTCTCTTCAAGAGCAGCAGCTTATTGTCAGAGACAATACTTTGTCTAACCAGAATTTTGTAACTGAGTTTATAGAAACTATTGATTTAGCTACAACCAGTAATGCACTACAAAGCTCTTGCACCACACAAATTCCAGGTTCAATTACAACTAATAGTTCGTCCCAAAATCCTGATAATGCACAGATTGTAGATTCAACAGAATTTAATAATCCAGCACAAAATTTTAATGCTACAAAAACAAACTGTGAGTTACAGAAGAATTCAGTTTCTGAAAATTTCAACACAACTGTATCATCATGCATAGGAAATGATAGCAAGCACAATTTTCAAAGTCACAATTCTATTCCAGCTGCTATTAGAGATAACTGTAAAAGAGTGCCTCAGATTTTATCACAGCAAAATTGTGTGAATGGAAGCCTATCCACTGTAACTTGGATTATATCAAACAAAGTTTTACCTAGAACCAGGCGAATACTTCCTAAACCTGATAAAAACCAAGTCGTCAGTGAATCTTCAGACAGGTACAGTATGTCAACCTTTTTATTTTTGTTATTTTTGCATTTTCTTAGGTAGATATTGAGAGGAACAATAACATGTCTCTATTTTCAAAGAATTTATTTCTCATAACTTTATTGGTATTTTTTTCTGAAAATATAGCTTGAAAAGTAACATTATATTTCATATTCTTTTTATAACCGATTGCTTTGTATATTTGACTTTTGAGATTTCAGCTTTTTCATGATACAGTGTCTTCTGTGGTCTTCCTTATAGTACAAGTTATCATGCATTATATCATATGTAAGAGAAACTGTAATTAGTTACCTGATTCTGATCTTCCTTGGACCAGAACAGATATAAATTTTAAGAACTTTGTTATTGATTGATAATATTATGAATAAAAGTATTTCATTCAATTCCAGTAACAAACATCAGTTTCAACCACTATGCCATGTGATGTGCTATGGCATAAAGATTGCTTGCTATACAAGTATAGCACAAATTCAGAGGATTGCCACATCATGGCTGTAAATGTTTACAGGCATTAAGAGATGTTATAAAAGGTTGTGTTATAAAAAAAGTTTTTCTTTGGGCACACTTTAAACATGCAGTATATTTTTCAGCATTGCTTGTAAATATTCATGAAAAAAGTAATAACTTAATACTTTAATTCACAGTTATGGTCTAAAGATAGATATCCAACCATGTACTTCCTTCCCTCCTGTTACATTAATGGATCAACAATATAAGTAAAATAAGATTGGTGAAAAATAAATAATTCTTGCTTTTTTCTTTATTTACTAGCTGTCAAATGCTTCTTTCAACTCAAAATTGCAAGGTAACATCACAAGTGAAAAATAGAAAGGAAAGATTTGGCCACAAGTTTAAATATAAAGGTAGTGCCTTGGAAGAATTACGAAAGACTATGAACTCTAAAGACATAGACAAGTATTCTTTGAAAGTTAATCTAAAGATGGCAAATGAACCAGAAAAAAATGAATTTATTTTCAAAATGGATGAGTATGGAAGGTAAAGTTGAAAATAGATTTTTCCAATATAAAGTTAAAAAAATCAATGTAAAAACAGTGAAATCCTTTATATAATTTTGTTTACTAAATTAACATATGAATAAATAGTCAAATGTTCTTAGGTAATATGTATAATGTCTTAGAAAAAAATACTCGAACAATTTGTACAATTTTCTATTAGTTTTTAACTAAAATTTAAAGTACTTTTAAATAAGTTTTCTCAATTATATTTTAACTAATGTTTGAATTCCTGTTTTTGTAATGAAGGTATTGAGATGACTAAAGATACTTTAAAACATCTATTTAGAAAAAGTTTTCTTTGCAAAATGTCAAAAGAATGTAAAACTACATATACCATGAATTTTATATTACATTCTAAGATAGATTTTGTTTATATTAAATACTTAACAGGTTTAAGTGGGTAAAGTTGGATTTATTTGAAAGAGTTATGTACTGCATTTTGGGAGCGTATGTAGCTATCATCAGGTATATTTTCTTTTAAGTAATCTAATTTTACCCATTTAAAGCTGGTATGTGTTCAGTTAACTTTGAATGCGTAAGTGGATCCCTTTCTTATAATATAAGCATTTGTTCACAAGTGATGGAATTTAAACAATCAAAAGTTTTTACACATTAAATCATCTTATACATTGATGGAAAGAATGGTTTATTTTGCAAAGCCATACATAATTTTCTGTTAAAATAGGGAGAAAACTAAATTTAACTAAGTATCATGCTACTCTTCAAATATTTTTAGAAATAAGAACTTTAGTCATGTTTATTATTTAAAATGGCTGGCATTGTCTAATGATTAGGGTATTCTACTCTCAATCTGTGGATCTTGGGTTTGAAGTCCATGACCAAACCTGCTCACCTTTTCAGCTATATGGGTTTTATAATGTGACATTCAATCCCTCTATTCATTGGTAAAATAGTAGCCCAAGAGTTTGTGGTGGGTGGTTCTGATTAGCTGCCTTCCCTCTAGTTTGTCATTTTAAAATTAAGAATGGCTAACACACAGTAGCTTTGCAAATAATTCAATAAACAATTTATCATAATAAGTGGCTTTTAATTAATATTTGCACTTAAAGTTAAAAACAATGTCATCTGCATGTAAATGAGAAGATGTCAGATTTTTGTTCCCAAACTGATTTTTTTTTTTCAAACGATTGGTGAACTTAGAAGTGGCATTGTGTTTATTGCATAGACACAGATAGTGTGAAATCTTTACACCTTTGTATAGCAGTATACATATGTTTAAAAGTCATTGTTTTATTATTACAACTATGCAATTAAAATCAGTTTTTCCCTCTGTTGAATTACTGGAATATTTTTGATATCAAAATCTAAGAAGTGACAATTAAAAGATAACACTAATTTATACTATTAGTTTTAAGTAGTACAGTAAAACTGACTGAAAATATTGTTTACATGGTTGTACATATATCAGATTTAAACAGTATAGAAGTGTAGACTACAGACAGTTTCACTCAGTTAAAGTAACCCATATTTTTTTTTTTTACAAAATGTATAGTTAAGATAAGCAAGATATTATTTATACATCTAAAATTAGTTTTTAATTAGCAGTAAATTTATCAGGAATCAAAGTTTAATAATGAATAAAAATGCAATGGCAACAGCATCAAACATTTGATACTTGCAATATGGAAATGAATCTTTAATACTTGAAAATTTTGGAATTAACATATTTCATCTTTGGTAAATTATATTAAGCAAGGGAAAGTGCTAGATACAGAGATTTCTATGCTTATAATGTTCCAACATTTTATAAACAGGAAATAAAATACAAACTAAAAAAAAAAAAGGATTGCAACAGATATTACAATATTATGGTCTTCAGCAAATTATTGAAGTTATTTATTACAAACAACTGAAGGAAAGTTGTGTTATTATTTAGAGTGGGGAGTTCATTTATAGACTTTCTAATTAATTAAGAGTTCATTATTTGATCCAAATGAGATGATTTTGAAAACTATAATAATAGTGAAATGGTTGCTGCTTTCACTGTGTGTGAAAATTATGTAGTCTGAAAGATTTGAGATGTTTTCTTATTCTGCTTGATCCTCTTATGTGTTTGCAGGAATATTAGAGTAATTTACATATTGTTTTGCCAATGTAAGTGACACTAAGCCACCTTTGTACATTTATACATGATCCAAGAACATGTAGGAGTAAATAATACCTTTTAGATCTGAATATATATTGAATTCTGAAGGGTAGTTTAAATATTATTTGGAATTTAACCTGTGGATGAAAAGTTTTAATTATTCTTATAATTTGTGACTTCAGTATAAAACCTTTATCTAAAACAAGGAATGAAAAATTTTAATTTCTTTCACTTTATTTCAGTTCCTCTATATAAAATGTTAGAACTTTATACATTTAGAAATCATTTTTTAATTTTAAACCTTGTTTAATATAGTTTTTTATAATTAGCTGCATGTAACAAAAGTATTTAACTACAACACAGTTAGTAAGTAGTCTATTATTATTATTTTAGGAAATATTTAAGAGATGTAAGTATATTTCAATTTATAATATATCTTTTATACTAATTATGGAGAGTACCAACTGTTTTGGTAGTATGGTGTATGTTTGCTTTAGAGTTTTGGTTTGTTTTTATGAACTATAAGCACGTATGAAAATTTACATACACTTGTATATTTATATATATATATTTTATGCTATAACAAAATACTTTTGTCCAGCTTCATACATCGTGCAATCAAAACAAACAACCTTGTCCAAACCTTTGTGCTGTTGAAAAATTGGAAACTTGTAAGAGAAAATCAGAGAATTAACTATATCAAGGAAATCAACAGTCAAGACAAGGATGGAAGGGTAATAATTATATTAATATTGGGCATATACTGGATGCTCAAATATCTTCATTAGTTATGAAGACTATATATATATTTATATATATGTATACTGTATTTTTAACTCTCTCACTGTCATGGGTACACATATATGTTCTCCATCTTGTGCTCTGCCATGGGAGTCTGGAATTTTGTACCACCTTAAAACTTTCCAAAGTTTAACAGTTTCAAATTTATGATAAGTGACGAAATATTGAAATGTTTTTGTCTTTTTTTATTGTGTATCTAAAACTAAATGTGGCAGTGAAAGGGTTAAGGTATAAAATGCTTAAGCTAACAAAAATTTATATACACACACTATAGCTCTTTAGGGCTTAACAAATGTTAAAACATGATAATTTATCATTAAAATTAAGTCATAAGACATATGTTGTTCGTTGATGTTTTTTCCCAGTTATAAATTTTGTTAAAAACATCTTAATTGAAGGAGTTGAACTAAGTCTAATAATGACTGTTTATAGATTTTAGTGGGAAATGTTTAAATTTAATTTTTGATTTATTGTCTACATGCAAGTGTACATTAGTAAAAGAAGCTAATCGAAACTTTCACTGTGTGATTTTTTATATCATTACAGACCTTTTTTAAACATGCGCTTCAACTAGTGAGAAAATGTGTAAAGTGTGATTTAAAAATACTGTAACAATAACTATATAAAATATTTTCACTTGTAGGTGTGGCTTCTACAGTTATTACTTGAGCAATATGTGATGTAGTAATGAAAAATTATGTTTGACATTGATCATCCATAGTTTAGTACTAACTATGTAACTACACAAATATTTTAGTTTCCTCACTAAGTTTATAGTAGTTTTTCAAAGCAAAAAACTTATTTTAGCAACTTCACAGTATATCTATAAATGTTTGTTATAACTTATAAGATAAGGCATTGTGGTATACTATGCTGAAAATAAATTTTCCGTGAAATTATGCAGTGGATCTTACAAATGACTGGCTGTGGGTGAATACAAAAATAATAATAATATATCTCAAATTGAAATATTAGTTATCTTCACAGTGGCTTATCATGTTAAACCTACTATGAATAGATATATGTCATAATAATTAATGATTGGTATGCCATATCCAACATTTTTGAATAACTTGTTCAGAAACATACCTAATAGATGTATATAAGTGCAAAAATATTTGACTCATTTAATGTATTATATCAATAATTGAATAATAATAAATCAAGCTAATTTAACAATCAACATTCTCTTTCTAGACACTTCTTCACTGTGCTGTACTTGGTATGCCGCACACTCCTCTTCTCACAAAAGCAATCCTTGAGCTTGGAGCTGATATCACAATTAAAGATGCCAAAGGAGAATCTCCACTTCATTATGCTGCTTGTAGAGGATTAGACTTTGTGGAAGTGTTACAAGTATTAACTGACATGTCAGGAAATGTAAATATCAAAAATTCAAATGGTGAGTGATAAATATAATTCTCAAATCTAACAAGTTTAATTGCTTACTGGGAAAAACATTATATTACTACTCTATTGTTTTTCAAAGCTTAAGCATTATTTTCATCAAACATAAAGATAGAAATCCTATGAAATTAAGTCATATTTGTACAATGTGTATTGGTTTAGATGATTCTGAAAAAAATAAGACTTTATATTGTTTCCACTTGTTAACATGATTAATTGAAAAAAAATGTGTAAATTATTTAAAACTATTTTTAAAGACAAATTGAATCTTGGTTACAAACAGCTTAGTTCAGTTAGATAGCAGTAAGGGACTAAAACATAATCTTGTGTGATAAAAGATCAACTAACTAGGAATTAGCTTTTGAAATATACAGTCTTTTCTATTCCATTATCATTTTTATTCTAATTATACTTTCTCTTGTTTTTATAGAAAAGCAGTTTATTTCTCTTCAATAGTGTTTAATTTAATACAAAAATATACCAGTTAATTACTTTATTGTCCTTTTCGTGATTCTTAGTAAAACTTAATTAATTTAAAGCTAAATATTAAAACAAAATTCCTAAATATCAGTTTTTGTGTGTCAGGTTGTATGTTGAATACAGCTTTGGTTCAAATGATATCTTTGTGATGTCCAACTACAACATCTATAGTTTCTTATGAATTAGAAACTCAAATTACCGATGTTGACAAGCTACAATATAAAATAAGAACTTCCTATCTTTCCTATTTGCTGAGATATCACAAAGTTAGAAAATCAAACACAATGGCTCCACCCACCTCTTTCGATGTACACCTACTTCTGTCTGTGATATGTGAATAACCAATCAAATGATTTCATGATTTTCTCAGTCAAAAGAAGGTGGGAAGTTCCCAAGATTATTTCTTTGTTTTGAATCACAGAATGAAGTGGTAAGTGAAAATGTTGACAAAAAAAAAATATTTTTGCTCAAATACAGTTTGGTTAGCAATGCATATATATAAAACCTAAAAAAAATTTATTTTACATCCTCCATGTGTGAAATTTGAAAAGCGTTAGGAAATTATGGCAAGCAGGCAAACGAGTACAAAGTTTGCAAGCAGAAAGAAAAAATCATTGTTCTCTGTATTTCCCTATTTACTATTCTATGTTTTAAGAACTTATTTGTAAATAGAATAATATGTATATATACATATGTAATATATAATTACTGAAATGTGACTATTTTACAAAATACTGGTTCACTAGAACAAACTTTGTAAAGGCCAGTTTTATACCACTAGATATGGTAACATGACTACATGTGCTTCTAGTGATAGTAACTTCTGTATAGTTAGTTAGACAAAGCTGAAAGATCAATAAAAATAAATGAATAATCTATATATATAGATAGATAGATGTATAATGTTATGAAATTTAGGCTGTTTAGAACTAAACATTTATGGTTTTTTGTAATAATTTGTAGTCATTCTAGAATGAAAAAAAAACATAATTTATATCTATTTCCTTATTTTTTATTTTGGTTACAAGGTTGGTCAAATTGACCAAACCCATACAGAGATACAGTAGTGAAAATAACAGATAAAATATGAAGTTTTTTCCAAGAAAAACGTTTGATAATTACTGGAGGTTATTAGGTGTTTATAAAGATTTTGCATGTGAAATTTGACAATTTTCTGATGCATAAAAGAATTTTTAATCTTAAAATCAAAATTAATTTGCATGTTGAATAGTCAACATTCAAAAAGAAAAAACTAGCAAATCATTACTTCAAAAATCTTAACACTTAATAATAAAAAAAAGAATGAAGTTTACTGGTAATTGCAAAATTTTGTGAAGATATACTTCAAGTATTAAGTTAGTTTGAAAACTTAACAAGCATAATGAGGTCAGTCTCTGGGACAGAGCCCGTAGTGAGAGAGGTAAGCAAGTTATTAATGAAAAACAAAATATGTATTATTTTTCTTTATTGTTTTTGTAGATTTCTTTATTTCATGACTAAAAATACCTTCCTTACAAAAATCTTTTTTTGTGTAGTTTTATTTAACAGTCTGTAAAAAAGTTTTAGGTTTTTTTTGATAACATAATTTTATCATCTTTGGAATCATCTTTCAGTTATCTACAAATGATTTTAATTGTGAAATATCATTATGTATATTTTGACAATAAGTCCCTACAAAAGATATATTCTCACTAGATTTATTAATCTCTCTATCTAAGTGCTTTTATTAAAGTTATTCTTAGCAATTTCCAAACCTCATAGTATAACATTTTCAGGATGGTAACACTGAACTAAAAACAGTGTTTAGTTCTAGTAATCTATTAACCCTTGTTTCTTCATTATAAACCAAACAATATAGTCTACTTACAGGATTTACAGGAACATGTAATTTATATGTTTAGGATGGTTACTAAAAAAATCTACATACTGATGTGAGTTTGTGAATTTGTAAAAATGTCAGTTACATTCTCCTTTTCTGGTGAAACACTTACTAATTTACTAATGCATCTAAAAAAGGACAAGGCTTTCCTATTTTTTCAAAGGGAAATTTAACCTCATTATTTATTGAATTTAAAATAAAAATATATTAGTGTATTGAGTATCCTTCCATATCACAAAACATTTGTTTAGAAACCTTCTCCAAAAAGTTTTTACATAAACTTCAAAATTCACATTAAAATAATCAGGAAGAATGTTAATTAATTGTAGTTTGAAAAATCCCTTAGCGATATTAGCATAAGTTGGAGCAACTTTTGTACCCATTGTTGAACTAGGTATATGGTGAAAAATTTGTTCCTCATGATTATAAAAAAAGAATTTCTTATGACTAGATCTAAACCTTTATTAATTCTGGGATGAATTAGTTCCTTGTATCCAGAAAAGAATTCCACAGCTTTATGCCCATAATCATGTTTAATACTTAGATAAGGAGCTACTACATGTAAAGAAATCAAATTGATGTTCTAATTTTTTAACAAATTCAAAATAGTTTCTAATAAGGTTTAGAATGTGAGATAAAAAAAATTAATGATATATTCAAAAAGTCATTTAAATGTTCTGTGACTTGTTTTATTACCTCCTACAATCTGATTTCCAAAAATATTGGGAGTTTCTCCAATATAAATGTATTCACTTTTTGTTTCTAACAATATTTCATTAATCTTTTTTTTGGTTTATGGATCTTTGGAAGTAAATAAAAATAACCAATTTCTGAATTACTCAAAATAATATCTTTTTCTTTTGTTTATCTTACCTTAAGTTTTTCAAATTTCATTAATTTTTCTCTCATGGAATTTATGCATCTCAACTTATTTAAACCTTCTATTCTTTGGTAAACAATTGCATCATTTAAATGCTCATAAAACATCTGATTATCAAATTGTTGGGTAATAATTACCCCTAATCTACAGGTGGACCTCACTTTGCAAAAGGGTTATGTTCCTGAAAAATCTTTTGTAAAGTGAGGTAGATCTTCTCATTGATTACCATTATATAATTGAAGCTACATTCTCAATGAAAAAAAAAAATTAGCCGAAACATAATAAACTGACAATGAACATATTTTAATGATAGTTTTTGGGGTAAACGAAGAATATAAACCATTGATAAATTTATCAAATCCAAATTAAGTTCTATACATACAAGAAAGTGGAGTGGTTGACACATAAGGTTATGGTGTAGGTGGAGGGAGTTGAATGATGTTACTGGCTGGTAGGAGAAGGGGCAGAATGAACTTCTGTTTCACAGTTATCATCGTAGTCTGCAGGAGGACTTGGAAGAGGATCCATTGAAACAGGTGAGTCAGCATCATCTTCATGACTTGATAGTGTTGATGGTAGTTTCTATGAAAAATCTCTCTCCACTGCAGGGCAGAAAAATTTGGTAAACAATTGTTCTTGTTGTCCAAGCCTTCTTGTTGGACCTCCAATTAACTGGCAGATTGGTCTTGACGTACCCCTTAAGTGCCTGTAGATTTTCAGAATGGTGAATCATAAGGGGTTTCAACTTGAAATCACCCTCTGCATTGCCTCCCAGAATTAGGGAAACTCTGTCTTTGTGACCTGGTTCAGACTTCTCTTCCCTTGACAAGTCTTGTCAACTTTGAAAATTTGACAGGTCATATATCCTCCTTGTTCGATAATACCTTCTAGAACTGATAGGTATGCTGCTGCCTCCTTGTCAGCACTTGCTGCTTCAACAGTCATCTTTAGGCTGTGTAGATTGTGCCTTTTTTTTAAATATGCCAAGCCAGCCTTTGCTTGCAGTAAAAGTTGTAGTATCTTTAGTACTTGTACTAGTCCTGATTTTGTCTGTTCTTTTTTTCTGCAGTTCTTCAAACAATGAAAGTGCCAATTCCTGCAAAGCCACATTAGTCAATGGTGAATCCTTCCACTGCTTCATGCCATTCACCCATAGAGCTAACAGATGTTCCATTTCTTCCATTATGTTAGGGCGATATCTAGTTAGTAATTTAGCAGATGCAGGTGTCAAAGTCTTAGCACTTTGGATAACTTTTTCTTTCTTGATAGTTGCTATGGTTGATGGTGAGAACTTGAATGCTTTGGCAATCTCTGTGAGTCTATGGCCTTCATCAAACTTTTTTGATGGTTTCCAGTTTTGTTGTTACTGAGATGGCTTTTCTTGCTTTTTTTGGCTTACTACTGGCACTAGAATCACTTCACTACGCTTACCAGTCATTTTGGATTTAAGGACAGAGTACAATCTAAATAAAACTTGAGAAGTCAGTTGGTTGTCACCTTCCATGATTCAAATAAGATGTGCGGGATGTAAACAGATGCCAAGGTGGTATGAACTCTTAGCACATGGGCTGGTCAAACTGCGCATGTCGAGACGTTTTAGTGAGTTGCATTCAAAATTTAATTAAACTATTTAATTACCATGATACACAAACAAACTTGACATCAAACCATAGATAAAAACTCAACTTTTAATATTATATAAGTTTTAATTCGTAATTTTATAAGAAAATATTAAAAAACAATCTCAAATTACCCTAGTGTGAGAATTTGAATATTTGTTCCCGAGTCGTTTCCTCTTCTGGATTTTTTTTGTCCACCCCCTTTAAACTATGAAATGTTACATAATATATTCTATATTATTTTGTCATTGATCTTCTCAATCTATATTTTATATCCTTCAATCTTATGGAACTAAAGAACAATCAATGAAAATGCAAGAACCTCTTGCCATGCCCATCTTTCACTTGCTCTAATTTACAATTTGCTAATACATTTTTCTGAGGCTGAATCCTATTAAATTTATAATCAATAGAAAGCCTAGAATACAATTGATTGATGAAAGGATGATTCATCCTATGTGATCTTACAGATAATTGACAATTTAGCTAATGAGAAAATTGTTTTTCCCACAAGAGCATAGTAGGAGAGCTAAAGTTGAATTTCTAATGGCTCAAGTCACGTGATTAGAGAGCAAGAAAATTTCTTACAGTAAGAACTGTTTCTCAGCTGCTAACATGAAATTATTGTGTTCTTCCGTGTATTATTTACTTAATGAAAAAACAAAATTGTGGACCAGTAATGTTCATGTAAAATATTAGAGCTAACATAGAAGGACAGTTGATGGCAAAAAAAAAAGGATTAAACAGGTGAGTGATATATTTCTTGTTTTTTTATCTATTCTTTGTTTATTATTATCAAGGTAACTAAAAATTTAAAATTAGAAACTTATAGGCTAAAAGAGGCTAAATTAGGTAATATATATAACAATAATGATAATACCGTAAGAAAAGAATTGGCAAAAAAATGCCCACAAAAAATTCTTAATTCCAGGATTTGGT